TCTCTCTCTCTCTCTCTCGCTCGCTCTCGCTCTCGCTCTCTCTCTCTCGCACACACACACAGAGACACCCTGTTTCTGTGCGCCTCCGTGCGCAGGTGCACGTCAAGGGAGGGAGGGAGAGAGGGAGGCTAAGAGAGGGGAGGGCGCAAGGGGGTAGGGAGCGGGAGCTGGGGGGCGCGACCACCAGCGGTGCGGCTGCCGCACAGAGATGGCCCCAGCGGCGGTGCCTCCGCACAGCGCGCGCGCGGATTCGCTGGTGCTGTGGTGGATCCCATCAGCCGCTGGGGAGGAACTTTCCCCAGCGTCGCAATCGGCGGGGGCGGCCGAGACGAGGCGGAAATGAATGGCGGGAATCGTCAGTCGATCTTACGCGCGCGCGCTCACAGGCTCGCTCGCGGGCGCAGCAGGTGTTCTTGATGCCATTTCCCGCCGCCGCCGCCCCTCGCGGCACCCATTTGGTTGGTCCCGCCCTCCGCGCTCCCGCCAGTCCATGCACGTTCGTTGCTTTTCGTTTCCTGTGTGGGACCGTCAACCCCGCGCGTACGGCGCCCGTACGGCGCTCGCGGTGGGCGGGTCTCGATCCCTAGTTCCCTTCCCTCTGGCGGAGTTGGCGGGGCCGCCGTCGCCGTCGCCGTCGCCGTAAAAGGAAAAAACGTGGTGACCTCCTCCTCCTCCTCCTCCTCCTCCTCCTCCTCTTCGCAGCGCTCGGCTATGGTGTAAATTTCGAAGGCGGTCTGTCGTTTTGCTCGTAAAAGCGCGCGAGCACGAGCGCGGCAAGGCCTGCACTGCACACTGCAAATGAGTCCAGGTTCCTACAGTAGCGAGGCCCTTGTGCGTCCGTGCGAACGCTCACGCGACCCGCTGGAATTATCAAGACGGGGAACTTAGAGAGTCATCGCCGTGGGGACGGACCTAACATGGACTGGCGGATACCGTACGCCGCGCTCCGCGAGGCTTTTCCGCAGGTAGGGGAGGCTTTTCCGCAGGTAGGGATCTCAACCTGCCTGTCTGTCTGTCAGTCTGTCTGTGGCGGTGTCAATCCAGGCCGTGCGGTCTGGCATTACAAGTGCAACGCCTTGGTGCCTTCCTCTTCCCCCCTCTCTCTCTCTTTCCCCTCTCCTCCCTCTCCCATTTCTNTTCCTCTTCCCCCCTCTCTCTCTCTTTCCCCTCTCCTCCCTCTCCCATTTCTGTGTCTCTCTCCCGCCTTTCTTTCTCTGTCTCTGTCTCTCTCTCTCCCTCTCTCTCTTGGTCTCTGTCATTTACCCCCGTCTCTGTCTGTTTCGGTCTAATTCCACTTTTTCTTGACCGTTTCTGTTCTTTTTTCGTTGCGTGTTTTTTGTTTTTGTTTGCCCTCCCTCCTCTCTTCTCTCCTCTCCTCTCTCCTCTCTCCTCTCTCCTCTCTCCTCTTCTCTCCTTTCTCTCCATTCCTCCCTCCCTGTCTCTCTGTTGCGTGCTAGTATCTATGTCCACTGCTCCTATGCACATGAAGTATCGTTCATGATGGATTTGACAGGTGAGCTCGGCATTTCCCAGGCAATAGCAAGGAAGGGATGGGCATCAGCATTCCAATGTGTGTAATTTTCCTCCTCTCTCTCTCTCTCTGTGTCTCTGTGTGTCTGTGTCTCTGTGTCTCTGTGTCTCTCTGTCTGTCTGTCTGTCTGTCTCTCTCTGCCTTGGGTATGCGGACAGTGAATTCCTGTATAACGCGAACTGGGGATGCACATGGGAAGTGAAACGAAAAGCAGCCGTGGCCAAAAGCACGTAGAACATGGATGCGCCTGTGGGTGTGTGATTAACTAGCTGCGCTCGACGTCGCGTTCCCCCCCCCTTCCCCCCTGCATGTCCGCCGCACGTGGGCCAACTGGTGAGATTGCTGTTAAGAGAGGTGAGATTGCTGTTTAGACTCTAGAGAGATGGAACATCTACCATCGGGGCGTTGTCCATGTCCTCTTGCCCTGTCACTCTCGTGCTGCCATGTGTCCTCATCATTCTCTCTCGTCTTTTCTTCCATCACTTCATCCTGCGCTACTCTGCTCAGCGCTCTGCTTCGATCAGTTCCACATTTTCTTTTTCCTGTGCCTTACTTTCCCTCTCTCCCTCTCTCTCCCTCGCTCTCCCTCTGTCTCCTTCTTTCTCCCTCTCTCTCCTTCAACCCCTGCTCCCTTTCTCTCTCCCTTCTTCCCGCGTTCTCGTGGCTTTTGCGTCCTTCCCTCGTTCGTGCGCGCGTACATTGCGTGCGCGTTTCCGCCTGCGCATGTGCATGCTCTCGTTTGCTGACTGCCGTGTTGTCATGTTGGCTATACACAACTCCATTAGGAAAAATGGCAGTGCCAGACTATTGCATGTGTGTGTGTGTGTGTGTGTGTGTGTGTGTGTGTGTGTGTGTGTGTGTGTGTGTGTTTGTGTGTGTGTGCGTGTGTGTGTTGTGCAAGTTAAGAAGTGGTTGATGCCGTGTGCGTGTCGGGCGTCGAGCGTCCCGTGGCTTCATGCCCATCGCGGTGGGCAATGAGCGGGGCTAGCATTTTTCTGTCCTTTTTTTTGTGCGTTTGTGTGTGTGCGCGGGTGGAGGGGAGAGGAGGGGAGCGGAGGGGAAGGAAAGATGGCCCGAGAGTGTTGTGTTAACGGTCTGAGGCGTGCCATCCAAAGGGGTTTGATATCCCAACTCATCAACGGGTGTGTGTGTGTACCTTTCATCCTGCCTTGCTCTCTGATCTGTCAAGCTGAGCGTTCGTTTCCTCGATCGCCATGCCACGTGTTAACGTCTTGACCTTTCCTCGATCCCGATGCCACGTGTCAGCCTTTTGACCTCCCATTGATTGCCACGTGGATCGTCAGACGTCGGTGATCGAAAGCCGAAAGTAGTCACTTGAATGCGGTGTATTCCCTGTCCCCCCCTTGTGTTTTGAGATCACCGTCTTTCACCCGCATCGAACGCGGGGTCATTATTGCCTTTTTTTTTTTTTTTTTTTGCTCCTTTTGATGCCAGTCTACTCTGTGTCGTTCCAATTCATTTAATGCTAGTTTTCTCTGTATCATTATTTGAGATGACCGTTGATTGCTTTATATCTAGACTGAACGTCGAATCAAAGCAGAAGCTATAATGACCGAACGTCGTTCTTTCTTGGGTGAAGACGGTATTCTCTCGATCAATCACCGCCGCGAGAGTTGCCTCGTCATTATCGCTGCATCTGGACTGGAAACTGCCCATCATTATCGCTGCATCTGGACTGGAAGTTTCTCCAAATGCATTTATATAATGACCGGGCGTCCTATTCGGAAGAAGATGGGAGTCTCTCGGCCAATCACCCCTGCGGGAGTCTATCGTAGTACTCAGATCTTGGTATTTGACCGCCACGTGGATCGATTTCGCGCGATGATTGATTGATCCCGCCTACCGGGTAGTATCCAACACTTAATTAACCGATCGATAAGTTCATTAGTTAATTAGTTAAGTAATTAACCCATACACGGACGTGCTTTGAACCGAGACGTGTTAACGCAAGTTAATTAACACTTGATTACAGTAATTAGTAATTAACACGCAAACGACGTGGCTCCGGCTGTGGTGGGGTCAATTTTGACCTCCTCCGCCCCCAACCACGAACGCCTGGCAATCAAGCGTCCCGATCGGGATGATTGGGTAATCAGTCAATCAATGGTTGTGGAGAGAAGTTGCATTACATGTTGTCGTCAACGCGATATGCGAGAACGACTCCTTTTTTTTGATCGAGTGCTGGATAGCTTCTTTTTTTTCCTTTTTTTTCTTTTTCTTTTTTTCCCTTCACTATTCACTATTTTTTTTTTCCCCCTATGTATTGATAAATAGACCACGCAAGGTGTGAAAGGGCGTTCTCTTTTTCCTTTTTTTTGGGGGGATTAATTACTAGTATGTGCTCGTCGGGGCAGCAAAACAATTGCTAAAGAAAAAAAAAGGAGAAACAAATCAATTGCAGATTACGATTTATGCGGGACTACGGTCCACACCTCTCGAAGGTCTCTCTATGCTAACGGAAGATAACGGTAGCTGTAGTGGTCGGATGCCTTATGCTACTGTTGACGTGAGTATACACCCTAAGGATGGATCCGAGGGTACATTCATACGAGGACATTCTCGACTGAATGTGGCCGTAATTTGCAGAGCTCGATACGTTCAGGAAAATGCAAGTTTTTTTTTTTTTGTTTGTTTTTTGTGTGTGTTTGTGTGTGTGTTTTGTGTGTGTGTGTGTGTGTTTGTGTGTGTGTTTGCGTGTTTGTGTGTGTGTCCTCTTGAGTACATGTTAGACGGACTAATCGAAGCAAAGCACCTAACCTGCATGCAGGCAAATTGTCTGCTCTCTGGAAGACGCGTTTTTTCTGTTTTTTTTTTTTTTTTTGGCTCAGCTAGTGAGAAAATATAGTCTCGACTCTCAAAGACGCTCATTTTTCTTCTGTTTTTTTTTTTTTTTTTTGGTGGGACGATATGTCAGCCAACGTGTCATCCTTCTTGTCCTTGACGAAGGTTGGGGGAGTTTGGGGAGGGGGAAGAGGAAAGTGGGGTTCGCGCGGTGGGAGGGTGAGGGAAGAGGGCGGAGGGGCTCACAACAGAAAGAAATGTTCGTTCTTCACAAGGTGTGGTTCGTGATCGATAATTTCTTTCCCCCCCCCTCCCCCCTGTGATCGACAGTGTTAGTTTCCCGTTTTGTCGGCTGCGCAAGGGGGGGGGAGAGGAAGGGGGAAGGGGGAGGGGGAAATGAGCACGCGCGCGCACGTGAGGAGGTTTTATTCGCATCTTTTTTGAAGGCGAATAGTTTCCTGCTGCAGTAACAGATAGACTGATACATTAAGCAGTTGATCGATTGATTAGTTGATTTGGTTGATCGGTTAATTAGTTGATTTGGTTGATTTGGTTGATTTGGTTGATTAATGGACTGATTGATGGATGGATGGATTACGTGTTAGATTGACATTGAGTGGATGGAATGCATCTTTCTATATGAAGTTGTCATACGTGTTAGATTGACATCAATGCGCTTTCTGCTGCAATGGCAGCTGGCTGGATAAGCTAATATTTTGGTTTTAATCTGGACTTCGATTGATTGCTTGATTGTTGACTTGCTGGATTGATTTGATTGATTGATTGATTGATTGATTGATTGATTCGATTGATTGATTGATTCGATTGATTGATTGGTTGATTCGATTGGTTGATTCGATTGATTGATTGGTTGATTCGACTGGTTGATAGATTGATTGGTTGATTGATCGGTTGATTGATTGGATCGTAGTAACCCCTAATGTGCGCCATCCCCCTCTCTCAATCCGTTTCCATTCACGAGTTTCTTTCCGCTGCAGCTAGAGCTAAAGATCTCCCTTTGAATTGTATTGCCGTTGTTGATTAATAGGTAAATTAGGCCTATCGATTGATTGATTGATTGATTGATTGGTTGATTGGTTGATTGGAGGTTGTGGAAGTAGAATGGAAGGGGGCATGCATGGCCTCTCTTCTGTTAATAGCGTTGGCAGAACGAGTCGTCGCTTTCTACTTCTGTGACAGTTAACCTGTTAATTGCTTGATCGATTGCTTGCTTTCTTGAATCATTGCAGGATCGATTTCAGGATTGACAGGTTATTGAGGAGTTGGCGATTGATCCCTTGGATCGCGTGGGCGTAGGATTGATGGAATTACTTGCGCCTTTTTCTGTCGATGGCTTCGCGAGAGAGTACTGTTTTTTTTTTTTTTTTTTTTTTTTTTTTTCGTTGCTTCAGGACAAGTGACTTGATAGACTTGGAGGTGGATTTCGCGCGGAAGTTTTGACTTAGCTTGGACGATATTCTGAACAGGGGGAGTTATGAGGAAGAAGATAAAAAACTGAATTCATTTTTTCTTGTTTTTCTTTTTTCCTTTTTGTTCGCATTTGCGCTCTGATACTCTTGTGACATTATATATCACATTTAATAATACATTAAAAAGTTGTATAAAAACTAT